CCTTCCACCTGATATTTTGTGTAGTTGTGCTCAGTCGCTTCTCTGTACTTTATACGTAAAGTTTTGATCTTCTGATGACATTGTAATGACGTCCTGTCCAACACCTTTTCAGTCGCGCTTTTTTTTTTTTTTGCAATCACAGCGTATACTCTAGCATCCCTAGACGTTCCGTCCATCATTCTTTGAATATTCGATTCTCTCCATACAAATATCAGTAATCTTGTTTCTTCAGCTGATCAGTTCGACATTCGACCTGTAACCTCTGACGCCATCTTGTGTAATGACAAGCATAAATAAGTTGACGATAGAGGGCGTTTAGTCGTTGTATTGTGTTCACACAGTACATTGTGTTGTGCAAGAGCCGGTGTGACAATGGCGTTTAGGATCTGGTCCAACCCCTTTACGACGGTGTCAAAACGCCGACGCCACAACAGCGTATTCTGTTCACACACACATTTTAACAACGATCTCAAATAAAAGGCATTGTGACAATGGCTTATTTCGTCCAGTAAGAATACCACTATAATTTCACCCTGCCAAAATGTTACACATTATCATATTATCATTGTGAATTAAGAACAAACTGCAATAATTTCTTCTGGCTAAAGGTCCTAGTCAAAACTGATTTAAATATGTGAAAAAAAAAATATGCTGGTTTATCTTGTGAGACTCCAAATGGCAGCAATAATAACTGGCTCCTCATGACGAAGCATTCTGAGGGAGTATTTCAGTGATAAAAATATAAATTTTTAATTTCTAGTCAAGAAAAACTACTATACATATACAGGAATATCATTAGTAGGACTTAAAGCTGACATAATATATTAAAGATTATTGACAGCATTTATATGTCACAGGATGTTAATGATACCACACTTATACATTATTCATTAGATAAGTTTGACATAAAGAATTACAACATGACAGGGATTATTGCAGGGATTATTATACATCATTTGAACACTTTAGAATTTGACACCATATTCCAATTTTCATTTGCAAGAAATTTAATAATTAAAGCGAGAGGGTTGTCACCTGCGCACACACGAGAATCGAGTCCCAAGCGACGATAACAACACATGCTAAAAACGCAAAGGCTCATGGGTAGATGCTTGTTTGTAAACAATGGCACGCTATAGCTATCTGCCGCATGCGCAGACGATGACTTCCGCTCTTTAATATACAGAATTGACAACATAAACAGTACCTCTGCAGACACATGCAAGGCTTGAAAATCAATAATCCAGCTAGTACATGCAAACTACTTAGACACAAAAAGGATATTGGATAGTCAATTTGTCAAATTTACATGATTTTTTTTTGTTTTTTTATTTTACACATTATAAAAGTTTATAATGAATTTTCAACTGTTTTCAAAAGTTATATCAGTTACCATAATTAATATAAAATATGCACAGTTGAAATAAAATATTTTGTCGTTTATGTACACCGACTCCACCCTGATAAATGACTAACACACTATCAACTTTACTACTACAGGTTTTATTTCCAAATCTACCTGGCCAAATCAGATACCATACACAATGACAAACATTCTGAGTTATTTAGTAAACAACTCTCAATACAAGTACTGTAAGTTATTAGTTACCGGATGTGCTTATGTGAATGACAAAGGTGTGTCAAAATCCATACAATAAATGCAATGTCTGGTGCACATGCACTTTTAATAGAGCAAATATGGTAAGTTATTTTCACATCAAATTATACTGCCCATCAATAAACTACTACACTTTTTATAAGATGATATACATGTACAGTATACTAGTAATTATGTTCAAATTTGTATTGTCACTGTGTATACACTGCCGTTAAGGTAACCCAGGCAAAATTGAGTGAATGATGTGAACATGAGTGGGTCTATACATGTATTCTTGACAACACACCAACATCACACTGTTGTTCAAATTCACTGTGAATGTCTATTCGAACATTCACACGGGAAACTCAAGGGTGAAAAACGAATGAAATCTGGGTAGCTCAATCAATGCTAACTTTGTAGATTCAAGTCTTAATTAATGGTAGTGTTAATGCTACACGAAGTATGGGCTAAGATTTAAACTAATCTTATATGTTCACATATCAGATAAATCCAATTGCATTCTCACACACAGGAGAAAACAGTGCTTAGAACTTGTGAATATACAAAAATCTTCAGTCGTTTTAAATAGGGTTACTACTTGTAAATACAATAACTAGGAATGTATACATGGTGATTATACAGTTATTAAACAACACCAAAGCTACAATGGCGTTTTGAGCACTTAGTCCGTGCTGGATTGGGTCTTAAAAACGGGCCAGATTTAATCGGCACCACATTTCTTAGCCCATGCTAAGAACGATACTACGATAATATATGTAGGCAGATATTTGTTTACAGTGTTTAGGAACACCATGGTGTGGAATAAACATGATTTGGGTGAGAATACTACCATAGTTGATTGATTGTTCATTGTACAAAACCAGGATGTCCAATATTACTTTATACAAAGCATGAGTGGAATAAAATTTTATTAATAAATTCAGCAGTCTCAACAGTGAATTATACAGAAATTTATAAAATATTTATTTAATATTAAACATTTACCCTGGAAGACGCGCATCAACACTTCTTTCAAAAGAATATGCTTACACTGGCTATGGAAACTATTTGATAATGCCAATTACCCACACTTACTAAATTTATATTAAACAAATATTTATGTCTTCATTAAAATGCACTGTAAATGTAGTTTGTAGAAGGCAAGGATTGACAATTTGAAATCATGGGAGGTGGCTGGAAAATTTATGTGGTAGACACAGACAAGAAAAAAAATTGCATGCAAAGTTTTGCAGGGAGAAATTTAGGCAAATTCTAGAAAATTATAAATGTACATATACGACGAAAACAGTATTGCTCTAGTCACACTCTTCTGACCCCCCACCCCCCCCCCACCCCCACGTGATTTCAAATTTCATTCAATTCACTTTCAGTTACTTGAACAATTTTCAAACTGTCTGAGATATTTTAATGACAACCAAATGTAATTGATAAAATTGACAACAGTATGTAAATAAAATATTACTGCAACTGTTTTAGTTGTAAAATGTGAAAAAATATGGTTTTCCCTACATAATATTTAGAGTGGCAGACTAGTTCCTGAAATATACCATATACTGGTACTGCAAATAAGTAACTATGCTAGCCTACATAAATATTAGGGTAAAGCTGCATGCAGGCCGGGAGGTCAGGGTTATATGGTCAGGGGGGATCTCCCAACCAGCGTAATAATATCAACATCACAAACCCATCTCTTGATTTTTTATAAATATTTAGTTTTGAACATACAACAAAAATATTAAAAGTACAAACCTGTAGATGAGTCTGGTCTATCATCATCTTCTGCCGCTGATGGTGTTGGCGTGATGCGACCTTTTTTCGCCTTAGACTTTGTTGCAGGAGTCGCCATCATCATTACTGTTTATATAAAATCCCGGCCAGCAGGATTACAATGAACCTAAATATTGTATAAAAAGACAATTTAATTAATATTAATAATGGGAACATAGAAGTGGTTTGAAAACAATTACTATATGTAGGAGAATGGTTCAAATATACAAAATGATGGAGGATCCGGATGGGGGTGCATATGAATAAATTAGTCAACAGTACATGTTTATTTACTTCCCCTTCAACCCATAGCATTTCATTGAACGTCTTGGTTGAGAATTTTTTTTGAGGGGACGGAAACACGAAAGTTATTATATGTATAGTACAGGACCAGGTCTTCTATTGGTCTTAGATGTATTAACGTCGAGTAAACTGCAGACAAGCGGCAGTTATAGAAGGGTACGCCAGTCGCGATAACGAACTCACACGACATGCTCAACTGTGTGTAAATTAAAAAAAATAGCACACCTTCAGTAAGATGTTGTACAATTCCGACGTTATTACTGTTACAGCCTGTAGGCAGCTCAATCGCTGATCCAATCCGATGCACCTAGCGATGGCATCAACGTATTTGCAAACTGATGACTGGTTAACTCATCCGGGCAACTAAAATGACGGTAAGAAAGTGGCCGACAGAAACATTCAACGCCGTAAGATGGCGGCCATATTTGTGGGTTGCTCGGACAGCGAGTTTTGTTTAGGCGGTGACGTCACTCGCCTGTTATTATGCTAATGAGGGAACAGGTTGCAAAAGAAAGGGACTGTCATCGAAGGGTGTTTTCAATGTGTGTTTTCCCCCCGGCTTTCTACTTGTAATTTGTCCTCTCTATTACATTCCTTTGAGCAATGTAAAAATAGAACTGTGCTTTATTCGAACGTATATTCAAAGCACAGTCACTTGGTAGCTAATAAGTTTAAACACCATTATCAAGGTTTGATTTCAACCTCGTTAGACATTTTCAAGTTTTCACCGTGACTATTCCCAACAATTTTTGCAAGTAAAAAATTGAACAAAAATACGCTTAGAAGGAACATTTAGATACGTATTTACCCACGCTCCGTTTAGCGATCATACTCATAAAATACTACTATAACTCACGCAGAAGTACAGATCAGTTATGTGCAAGATCCAGTCTCTCAACACGTGGTGTAGAGGGACTGTGGCAAGATCACGTCTTTCAGTTTGAACTCAGGGTTTTCCATTATATGAAGCTAAACTACTGGTAGCTAAATTCCATAAACACGGCTACATACCGCTATTTAGACGATTTAAATTATAAACTATGGCGCTGTTTAGAAACGGCGTCTAACGGTCTTGTGATTTTGATGTTATAATTTTCCGGGCGCAATTTTGACGAAAAAGTAAAAAAACGGCCCAAACTAGAATTATTTTAATCAGTTTGGTAAGTAGCTTATTTGCCAGAAATGAATTTAAAAAGGAAAATATTCAGTGTATTAACAGTATATGGAACAAGCAATACGGTATTCTCTTTTTGGAGGATGTGGTGGCCCTGAAAAGGGCCGTTTGGTTTGTGTATGCTTGGCACACGATTTATCTGGAGCTGGTGTACTTGGTGACTGCCTTGGTGCCTTCACTGACAGCGTGCTTGGCAAGTTCACCGGGTAGAAGCAGACGAACAGATGTCTGGATTTCTCTACTACTGATGGTATTCCGCTTGTTGTAGTGGGCCAGCCGGGAAGCTTCAGAGGCGATACGCTCGAAGACATCATTAACGAAGCTGTTCATAATAGACATGGCCTTGGATGAGATACCAGTGTCGGGATGAACTTGTTTCAGAACCTTGTAGATGTAGATACCATACGACTCCCTTCGTCTGCGTCTTCTCCTCTGAGATGCACCACCGCGACCTTTCGACTTAGCGCCTTTCTTCGCACCTTTCAAACCTTTACCAGATTTGGTTGGCGACTTCCGCGGAGACGACTTGGGAGGCATCTTACAGTATTCTAAAAAAAACTGCTGATGAATAATGTGATAACCTACTAGACGACCCCAGTATTTATAGCAAAAAGTATGCAAATGAGGGATACCCGGCAACTGGGCGCTAAAATGTGTGGACGAATCATTGAAGTTTATTTCAACACAATTGTGATACATTGATGCAAAGTAGGGATTCTGACTGGTATGTATGGCTGATTGCGAACGTAAGAGAGGACACCCTGTCATATAGAAACGGCGTTTTGCAAGCGCGCGCAAACAGGATCTGGGGCGTAACGCGTTGTGTCGTCACAGGAAGCGCTGTCTCAGCACAGACCAATCTCCTTCCCACAGGTCTTTGCGCTTTGTACCTCTGCCACAGGCAGCCTTCATTTGTGGGCATTCACCTCACCGCACGGCCATTTTCCCGCAGTTGTTTCATTTGAAACCAAACTACAAAAATTGGGGAAAACGTGTGTGACGTGTTAGACTTCAGTAAAAACGTAAATACGAACCAGCTATAGAACACAAAGGTCGTAGTAAGTTTATGAAGTTAGTCATTTATCAGGTCATTTATTGTACAATCTAATGCTTTGCCATCAAGGAAAGGATTGCACCTTTCTAACGCAAGTCGTGTATATTTTAATGTAATTAATTGAACATTTTATTCTGAGACAGGGCGTGAAACGTCTTATTAAAGTGATTAAGTAACCAAGTGACTTGCGTAACTTTGTTAACCGACAGGGTTGTGTACAATCTCCTTCCCAGAGGCCTTTGCGTTTTACGCATAAGTAACGCGTATCGAACTGTGCGGAGTTCGGGTTGTGTAGTTCGTCAGTTCGAACTACATGTATTCGAATGTGCAAATGAGTTATATGCAAAGCTGGAGTGTGTTCGTTCGTCTACACCCATTCTATTACGATTTCGCAGTTTATATATTAAATACAATCGCTAAATGAACGTCCTACTAGCACAAGTTGATTTATTCTAATACGTTTAGTTTTCTCGCACTGTTTCTTTTATTAACCCTTACTATATTGATCTTTCTGCATTTTAAACCATGTCCTTTCTTTATTACATGATGTATACATCTCGGACTTACATTGTATGTTCCTTGCTTATTTTTAGCACTTCCTTTTCCTTTATTCGTTGTAAAACATGCTTTCAACTAGCACAGTCCGAGTCATTTTTATTATCGTTATGATGCTTATTTATTGACCAATAGAATCACTACTATCCGATAACATAGTAGCAATATTTTGCTCTGCTGATCGATCCTATAAGTAAGACCGTCAGAAACATCATTATCCATTCCAATGCCGTCATGTCTACAGCAGAAGAAATCAGCAATATCGAAGATTTCGACGTGGTGTTTGATACGCATATGTTCGACTTGACCGTGACTACTGACAGCTAGACTGGCGCAGTCGAGGCGATTAATTTGTTTTTATAGTTTAAATAAAATTTAAAAAATCTCGAAATGGAGGTGTTAGCGCGAAATTTCGCAGCTACAGGTGATTTCGCAGTTACAGGTGATTTTTTTTTTATTTTATTTAAACTACAAAAACAAATTAATCGCCCTGCCTGCGCCAGTCTAACTGACAGCCAATCTGTAAGTTCTGCACCAACGCCAGAACAGAAACGTTTACCAGACGCTCTCTTCTCTACAATTAAGGGTGAGGTAACGGTAAAATCTTTATCCAAACTTTACCGTACTGAGTGGTCTATTGTTATTCAGATGAAGTCGATACATACATTTTCATTATCAGGAAAAGGGTTTAGTGGTTTCAAAGAAAACCGTTATACCTGGTTTGAAGCCGTCTACGGTATTCCTACAAAAGTGAGAACTTATCTCAAACCAGGCTTCTAAACAGTACACTAAACTACTTGACATTTATTTACCGACCCACCTGAAAAAATTCCAGACCATTCTGGTAAAGGAGAAGAAAGTGTTTGAAAATATCAAACGCTGGCTGGAAAAGAACATCAGACTCTGGCTGTTGAAAAAACTGAGGAAAAAAGTGCAGTAGCCCTGAAAGGACAGGAAACGCACTTAAATAAACCAGTGATTCGGCACACAAACAAAACGGCACTTTTCAGGGCCAGCACATCCCCCCCCAAAGAGAACTACCGTTATTACTATGGACTCTGTCCATACAATCGATACACAAAACGCAATAGACACTTCTCACGTAAGAAACACATTGCAAGATGCAAACGAATAAAGAAATACAATGCAAAACTGGCTAAAATAAACGGTTGGTTGATCAAGCTCGGTTGTTCTCAAATTTTATTCGTAATTTTTCGAGTAAAATTCCGACTCTAACAGAGGTCATTGCCCTTGGCAACGGACTCAAATTTATACCAACCCCACCCAAGCCACACTTTGCTCAGAGACATGTCAATGCTATCTAGGAGAATCAAATATTTAATACGCAATAAACAATCATCACCAGAGGGCAGTATATTCGTCGGTAGACCAATCATCAGTGGTTGCTCTGGTCCGACAGAAAAAATGTCAAAATTGATTGACCACTTTTTAATTCCAATCGTTAAAAGGCAACATACATACATACATACATACATCAAAGATACTACTGATTTTATTAACAAAATCGAAAAAATATCTGTAATCTGGTAATAACGTCCTAGTAACCATGGATGTCATATCAATGTATACTAATACTGTTCACGAAGAAGCGATCCTAGCAACCGCTAATGCAATGCAATCGAATTACAATCACAATGATAGTCCTTTGAAACCACTGCTTTTGGAATATATAATTAAACTCCTTGAAATCATTCTCATTCGAGTTTAATAATGAATATTATACCCAAACATGGGGAGTTAGCATGGGATCACCATCTTCAAGTTCACCTGAGACTGCTGACATAACATTCCACCTTCGAATTTGACTACTTGGTGCTCGATATATTAAAACTTGGTATCGTTTTCGAGATGACATCTTCATGGTATTCAAAGGTACCGTACCTGAATTACACAAATTTGTTCAGGAAGCCAATATGCTTCATAACAAATACCGGCTCACATTTGAATACTCCATACTCCACGTACCTAGACCACGATCTGAATATATTAGACGTGAAAACACACACCAAGACAACGAAAACGTTTCAATATTTGAAACGTAATTCTTGTCACCCTACATCAGTATTCAAAGGATTTATTAAAGCGGGACAAGAGTTATTTTTGTTCAACGTAATTACAATATTATTTTTTCGTACAACGTAAATTGAAAAAATAAATTCCGTAATTCTGTAATCACAGGCTAGACGTACAACGTAATCAATCAAATATTGTTTTCGTACACTGTAAAGATGTGTTATTTTTCTCGGTACGTACAAGAATTTACATCCAAATAAAAAAAAGTCGTAAAGAATAATCCAGGGAAATTACATTTTCGAAACTGTAAAACGACTAGATGACACAATTCACTGCAAAATTCAATTTTCACTGTAAACTGTAAAAACGTCTTTTTTTCCTTGTAAATTGTAAAAAGCCTTTTTTATTTCCCGTAAACTGTGCCAGCTACCCCCTTGCCCCACTCATTAAAGGCGAAACCATTCGGTATGCTCGAAATAGTAACTTGAAAGATAAACTTACAAGTTCTACTCTACGTACTGACAAACTCGTGAAAAACGACACATCAAACGACGAAGAATTACTTGCCATTTTAACTAAATGATATAATGAAAGTAATAACGTCAAACATTCTGAAACCTAAATAAATCGAACGATTCGGTCAAGTACTGTTCCGGCTAATGAAGGATTTAACATAGAACCCGAAACAGCAGCATCACACTAACACTGTATTTTTTTCAAAATGGAATTATTTTGTCCATGTTTATTTCATTTATGCACGAAATGTATGATAATGTAGTACATGTATTGTTATGATAATACAGCAGGAAAACTTGTTATCGTGGGATATGCCTTCTGAAGTCAAAAACAACTAGTCTAGTGAATAATCCAATTACGGATAAATTTGAGTGCTGCATCGACATAGGCTTTCTTCGTACTCAGTTTCGTATTCCAATATTGTTTCCGTGTTTACTTCTATTGGGATCACACCTGAAATATTTTAACACGGAATAATACATCTGTTACGAATTTAGTTAGCTAATATAATACTGCCCTCAGTCGGTGAGATGTTCGTCAATCCACCACCCCCATCGAGCTTTGTGCAGTGATGATAAATAACGCGTATAGAACTGTTCGGAGTTCGAGCACAGACTTGTGGAAAGGACACCGACCTGTAGCGTCAATAAGGCGTAACGTAAATATGCACGCCGATCTTCGAACAACAAGCTGAATTGTTCGAGTTAGGGACATCGAGTTACGAAAACATCGAGTTACAAACATGACCACACCCACTTTTGCAAAACCACGCTAAATTGTAACTCGATGTAGCATGTTAACAAAACTTCGAGTTACAGGCCACATATATTTTTTTTTGTCGAAAGTCCACATTTAGTAACTCGAACTTTAATTGACAGTTAACCGAACTTGAGATACGAGCAACATAGATTTTTTGTTTTGTTTATCATTGCATGTTTCCCGTAACTCGAAGTTTGGTTAGGGTAGAAGCCTACTCATATTTTTTGAAAATGTTGGTCATAAGTCGCAATGCAATTTTCATTGGTTTATTATGTACGATCATGAAGCTATTTTCCCATGGCACCATGAAATAGCATTCTTTCGTGTGTTACAGTAACGTGTGTTTTTTAGAAACTTGTTCTAATATTTTTCAGAAATCGCTATTTTTAGAACAATTTTATAGAACACAATGCTAAAGGGGGACAAAACTCTAGGATGTTATGTTATATTCATGCTCACTAATACCTCTTAATAAAGTATAATTAAAAAAATAAGTCGTATGTATCTTTTATTGCTTCATAACACGGGCTCGAAAATGGGCAATTAAGTTGGTGGCAAACTACTGCTCTCAATGGCGAGATCTGGCCGTAGAAGGTTAAACTGTGACTTCATTTCTGAA